TTGTTCCTTCGCACTCGAGAATATTTTTAAGCAAGATATCGCCGTTCCAAAAATCCCGAGGTCGACGTTAAAACTCAATAAGTACAATATACAATTGTGCAATCCATGACCGATGGGGCATATTTAAAATGACTTGTTTATTGGGTTAATTGTGTTCAATGTAACCTGGGTTGTGTCGACTTACAATAGAAAATCATTACTTCTCAAATAACCACAGCAATCCGCGGACGTGAAATGAGAAACAAAGAAACAAAGTTAAGTGAACGAAGTTCTTGTGGTCTACCGTATATCCTGAACAACGCTGTTATCATAAGATATTAGGAACAGAGTCATATTGCCGACAAAAGAACATAATACCTACTACCGGTGCCAGAAGTTTGATAAGATATTTGTGCCCGTCCCGATCAAATCGTAATCATGACTGATTGATTGCGTGGCAGTGTGGTGGATCATAGTGATTTAGCGAATTCGACAAATTTGAGCCCTTCTTGCAGCACTGACTCCACCCTATCGCAGGTCTGTCACTCAGATTCTTTGCAAGATATCACCCGATCATCGTTTAAAAAATCACAAGGATAGGCAAAATACGAACGATTGAAATTTATGTTATCGCATGCTGCTCCGTTGGTAGTTTCAGAATCGGTTTCGATTTCAGTTACTACGATAAATAACCAAAGAAAACCTAAGATAACATCAAATATATATTGTCATTTGCAATGTCTAAAAAAGCGTTTTGAATCTGTCGTGAGTCTGCTGAAACAATATTTATAGTGTTATCTTCGGTTTTGAGTTTTAGTTTTTATTATTTCATAATGCCGCTTTTCAATCAAGAAATTTGAGCATCTCGTCGCCGATGACTATAATATATTAACATGTTTTTCACATCGATTTCATAATTCCCCACGAGAACAAAAAAGCAATTATCGTCGTCATTATGGAACAATACATGTATATGCCGGAGGAAATTTTTGATTTAGGGAGAATAAACACCGACGTAACGATGTTTAATAAGGTATAACGTTTCTCGCTGACGAAAACAGTCGGCGATTGTACCAAAATGCAATCGCGCAGCAACCTTTTAAGTCTTCCAAAAATATCAAAAGGAAAAAGATTCGACCCCTAATTTATTAATATGTTGGTCAAGTGTTAAATTTACAGCCTTAATATATATGATTTATCTTTGAAATTTAGATTTATTTATGACTTGTATTAACCCTATTAAAAAAGGTTTAGCATTTAAATCGAGTAAAGTACTTTTAACTTACTCAGTAGTATTAATCGTTAAGTAACAATTTTAAAATTTATTTTGGGGCTCCTTGAATAATAGTCAACATCTTCACGGGCTCCGCAACACCAAAAGTTTGAGAACCCCTGGTATAGACAACGAAATGGATCTTCAGTCATATTCCACTGATTTCAAAAGATCCGGAACGTCGCGCAATGTGGATATCATCTATTGCCTATTGGCAGAACTGCTTGGTGTCAAGTCCAGAAGCCATTTCACTTGTGTTTCACTGTTTGCGGACAGCACTTCGTGTACTGAACCAATTGCTTTGAAATTTTCAGTGGTTGAAGATAAAATTTTTCCCCAGAAGGCTATTACTTTTATTCATTTTAAATATTTCTGTTAGCTCTGTGAGATTTGTTTTTCTGTTTGCTATGACGTCATTAAACGTTCTGCGGACATCGGACGTCATTTTGTGTCCTACTGTACTGCTTCGCTTGGTGTGAATATATTTGTAGACTGTGATCTGACGGTACGGTAAACCGTACTGTACTGCGAAGAGACGTGTCCATATATTTGGGCGTAGCTCTCTTGTTCCTGGTGTTTTTAGTTTGCCTGCTAACAGGTATTTACAGGAAACAAGATCTACAAGCCTCCCCAAAGACGTAATTATAAAATATGTAAGTATCGGTGGGTTGAGGCCTGCTTTTTAAAAAAAAAAGTGTAACTAAATTGTGGCATTGCCAGTCCGCTCCGTTTTCTTGGTGTATTGGGAGTGGCCTCGCTCTCTTGAGTATTTTCTTTGAGGCGACCCCGGCGTTTCTTTAACGAATTCTTTCGAATAATTTGTTATCGCTTTTGTTTGCTTATTACTTGTTTTACTTATAGTCCTGAGTTAGTTTAATATTCCTATCGTAGGTAGCCTAGTTTATATAGTCTTGTGGTGGTAAATCCATTTCGTAAATAGTCTGGTTATTAAGTATATTCGTTTATGCCTGCCAGGACACACTTGCCCCTCGGCACTGGTGTAAACCAGAGTGTCTCTGCCATAACTTCTCCTTCGGCTTCTTCCTCGGTGCCAAAGCCACTGTTTTCCAGTGTTGCGGCGACGCTGCCTAAAGTTGCCCCATCAACAATATGCAAAGGACTCTGTTAAAATTCTTGGTATATATTTTGGCAAGAACCAAATAAATAAAACTTGGCAAGAAAAAATATCAACAATTAATAAAATAATTAAATATAATAAAACCAGGTCTCTCTCCTGGTATGGCAAAATTACGATTATTAACTCCCTAATTTTGTCACAGGTATTGTACAGTGCGAGGTCGGTATTCATACCTCCTCAAACTGTACAAATAATAGAGAGATGTATTTTTTCTTTCCTATGGACATCTGAACCCATGGAAGTCTTGAGTAGGAGGATTCTCCAGAACGATATCAATAAGGGTGGAATGGGCGTGATTAGTCTTAGAACTAAGATTGCTGCCTGCCAAGTGCAAATGTTCAAATATCTGGTCTCTCTATCTAACCCCAGTCAATTCTGGCATAGAGAAGCCCAATACAGCAAGATAAGATCTGTAAATCCAATCTTGTTCAGCAATCCCATGCCTCATTCTACCTGTGTACCTGAACCTTGGTTGATGAGACTCAGTCTTTTTAAAGGAATGAACTTCTCGGCCGAGGAATGGGTATCCTTCAGTCTCCGTACCATCTACTCAAGACTCCTTGGGGGAAGAACCGAGCATCCTCCCACTGATGTCGACTGGGAATCTGTCCATCTCCTTAGTCGACATTTAAAACATCATTTTCAGCATCAACCCACTGATGTCGACTATGAATCTGTCCATCTTCTTAGTCAACATTTAAATCATCATTTTCATAATTATGAAAGGAAGATATCTTTCCGTATATTCCGGAATGGTTTCCTTTATGGAAAACGCCGGAAACAGACCGGGTTTAAGTATAATAAATGTAATAATCGCTTACTTAAACTCGATTGTAAGTTTTGTAATTTAGGACCCGACGACACACAACATATTTTTTTGGGGTGTAACGTTTGCCTTAGCATATATCGAGAATCCTTGACATCTTAAATAAATTATGTGTGAGTGCTGTGAATGTTCCAATAGAAGATATTTTCTATAACACCTATAACAAAAACAGCACTCTATCTGTCCTTAAAATTTACCAACTTTTTAAGGTCCACATAGTTGAGATGAAAAGGGTTCTCGACAGAGACGACCTATATGCGACGGCAAACGATACTAATAATATAATTAAATCTGTAATTAACGGGTTTCATCAACACCTTTTGGATCGTGAAAATAGTTATGGAAATATTGTCCAGTATGAGTTGGTTCCCAACTGGATAGAAATATTATGTGATTACAACACGTAATATATAAAAAGTTGCTCACGTGTCAAATATTGTTAATGGAAACCTCCCCAAGTCTGCTATTTAACTTTCTATCATAGGTATTAGTCTTATTATAGTCTGCCTATCTAAAATATTTATAATACCTTTTATTAGCATAATATAATAGAACAAATAACTTCATAAACGCCCTATACATCAGAATAATGGCTCTTCTATATTTTTGGTGAAAGTCTTATTATTTTTATTCTTTTTTTTCTATAACTTATTTTTCACTCACTCTCTTACCTTTCCTCTGCTCATGCTCTGCTAAACCTCTTACTATTTAACTTCTTTTTTCTTAAAGGAGACGGACATCACGCGATAGGGAGAGTTGACATGAGTGTGCATCAAGGTGCATTTCTCTTAACTCTCTCCTGTCACGGAAGTGTTCGTCGAATCTAAACTTCTGTTTTCACCTCTCTTGCATGTATTAGAAGACAACAACATCTCCAAGCCTCCCCTGAAACAAGTGAGTATTAATGAAAAAAAATAAAATAAGTATCGGTGGGTCGAGGCCTACTTTAAAAAAAAAGTACAACTAAATTGTGGCCTTGCCAACCCGTTCCAATTCTCGGTGTATTGGGAGTGGCCTCTCCTTCTTGTATTTTCTTTGAGGCCACCCCGGCGTTTCTTTAACGATTTGTTTTATAATAAATCGTTAACGTTGCAGTTTTAGTCTTGCTTTTTGTTTTAAATAATAGTTGTTCAACTTGTATCCGGATTTGTATTCTGCACTACCTTAAATAGGAGCATAGTTGTATAATATAGTCAACTTAATATTTTTACTATAGTATTCTCTCCCTTGTTCGATCATCTGGTTGCTAAACTTGTTTTTTTGGTACCTTTATGTCTGCCAGGACACACTTGCCTCTCGGCACTGATTCAGTTCAGAGTGATCCTGGCAGTCCGAACATAGTCGTCATGACCACCCAGCGTTCAACAGCAACGGCAAAGCCGCTTTTTTCTAGCGTAGCGGCGTCGTTACCCAGGGTAGCCAGTGTCAAAGGTGTGGAGATCTCTCGCGGCGAGTCGGTTGATGTTGTTACATCACAGAACATATCAACCGTCTCTGCCTTTTACGAGCTTTTCTCCACCGTTGCTAAGTTGCGCCCTTTCAAATCTCTAGTGGAGGGTAATTTCCCCATCCGTCAGGGCTTATGGAACATTACATTCCAGCCCACGGATGGTGGGTCAACGCGAGATAACTTTTTAAATAGCGTTGATAATAGCTTGGACACTCCTCTTGGTATTTAAAATTTGGTCTACCCCGTGGCCCCGGCACACGCATCAGTCATAGTCATAGTCATAGTCAATTTTATTTTTTCCAACCAGCAAAAAAATAACATACAAAATCAAAAGATAAACAAAATTTAACACACATTTTTACTGGGGAAGGGAAGCCGCGGGGAACCAAATTTGGTTATCGAGCAGCGACACCCAAGATTCGTCATCTAATTTAATTTGGAAACTCGGAAGTTATGTTTGAAGAATAAAATGTACCGGTACAGGTTTGAAAATCCCATCCCATCGGATAACTCGTAGGGTATTCCCTGATTAATCGGGTAAGTAAAGGTCTGAAATGCTGATACGTGTTGTATATATTGTCTAGAAATAGCCTGAATGCGAACACTATAGACACTAATAAGTAGTTTATATATAACCATAGTTTAAATAGGCGCAAACATGCAAATGGCAATGAATTATAAATAGGCCATATTACAGGATGAAAAGGACGCGGGAAATCAGTGGTGGTTATCGAGCAGCGGCACCTATAAAATAACTCTGGACACTATATTATAAAGAAGAAAAAGTCAAATACAGTGTAAATAAATTGGAAAATAAAATGCATACAATATCTCGAGGCAATCTGCTATAATCAACAGTCGCTCACTTCAACAAAACACGACTCTGAACACCACTAACTTGGTAACCATGGAGATGGTATTAATGGACTGTGTCACAACAATACTATTGCTGTATTGTGATGCGCATTGTCTAACAGTCGGCAATAAACGTCAGATTCCGAAGGCGTAACACTGGCTTTCAATTAGACGCGGTGGATATTGAGAGCAAAGAAAACAGGTAATAAAATCTTGTAGCATTAAATAGAAAGACGGAATATCTGTGACGCTAAGATTAAATTAAACGAGATACGGTAACGTGGTAGGTACCGGTAACGGTACTCAGTGCTGCAGTGATATACTGTATATCAATGCAGACGTGGTCCATTAAAAGAATAATTTGCACTGGACAACAGTTTGAACATATAAGGACAGCGTAATGAGAAAATTAGTAATGCAATAATTACGTCAATTATCACAGCTAAGCCATGTTTACAGTACTTGGTCATTAGGAATAGTTCAATAACATTATTCACTCTGTTTTAGGTGAGGGTATGAAAACAGTAATACAACAACTTAGGAGACAGATTGTTTCAAACAATTGGAAGTAAGTCGACCAAAAAAATAATGTTAATAGGACATGTTTTGTTTGCTTTTTAACATATGAATAACATGTGTCATCAATGCTCAGGGCATTGATTCAATTACAGAAATCAGATATGAACTCATTCACTACATTAAAGTAAATACAGTAATGAACGTTTGTCATATAAAGATACAAGAGCTATAAATTGAGAAAGATTGTTGCTGTAAAGTAATGAAGACATAATATATTAACTATTGCAAGTATACAGTAATTACTAGGTCATTGCAGTGATTCAATAACCTTTCACATTATATTTTTTTTCAGGTGGTGTCATAAAAGCAGCCACAATAAAGATCTTGGTCGGGTTGTTACAAACATTCGAAGTAAGTCGACACGAAATTCTTTTTCATATTTGATTTGAAAAGTTGGTATGACATGCTTCGTAAATCAGCACGGAGAGCATTCCACATAATAACACCCTTATATTTGAGTGAATTTTGAGTTTTAGTGTAAGTCTGTCGAGGTACATGGAGTGATGAAGTGGATGCTGATCTAGTGTTATAATTGTGAACATTGCTTTGCTTGACAAAATAGTTATTAAATGCCTGTGGCAGGCAACAATTGTGGAATTGGTGCATCAACTTACCAATTTCTAGATGATAAATATCGGTATACTTCAGGACACCAGTTTCATGATACATAATATTCATGTTAAAATGAGCAGTAGGCCTATAGAGAATTTTAACGGCCCTGTTCTGTAAAACTTTAATAGGATTTAGTTTTGACTTGGAGGCTGATCCCCATGCAACAACTGCATATTGGATATATGTTTGAAAGAGAGAATAATAAACTATCTTCAGTGTATTTCGGTCCGTGTAATGTTGGAGTTTGCTCAAGATGCCTACTGAACGTGAAAGTTTTTTTCGCACTTCATTGATGTGCACATCCCACTGTAGACGATTGTCTATGTTTAACCCCAGATATTTATACGAAGGCACAGACTCGAGCTCGATTCCATTGATTTTGATTTCTAAAGGAGTTTTGTCGCGGTTGTGATTAGGCTTAATGTGGACTACTTTAGACTTTTGTATATTGATGGTGAGCTTGTTACTAAGCATCCAATTATAAATTTTTACCATTTCTAGGTTGACATGATTTTGGAGTTTCAGTGAAGATTTGGAACTACAGAGAAGACCGGTGTCATCTGCAAATAATTTGGTCATCAAATCAGAGCAATGAGAGATGTCGTTTATAAAAAGAACGAATAATAATGGGCCAAGGCAAGACCCTTGGATTACACCAGCTTCGATTGGAAGAACTTGGGAACGGTGAGAGTCAACTTCGACAAATTGGAGTCTGCCCTGCAGATAATCTTTGATGAGGGCATGCGCGCAACCTCGAATTCCGTACTGATTAAGTTTGCGAAGGAGTATGCTATGACTAACGGTATCAAAGGCTTTTTTAAGGTCTAAAAAGGCACAGCAGACATGCTCTCCCTTCTCGAATTTATCATAGATATATTCTATGAGGTCAATTATGGCATGGCTTGTTGAGTGATTTTTTTGGAAACCAAATTGGCATTTATTTATTAGTTTGTTCTCACCACAAAAATCACTTAATCTGCAATACAGAAGTTTCTCAAAGACAATTGCCAGACATGATAAGATGGAGATTGGTCGATAATTAGATGGGTTAGTTTTATCACCTGATTTGTATAATGGTATGACTCTGGCAAGTTTCAGCGCAGATGGAAATATGCCTATTCTTATAGACGTGTTGAAGAAATTTACTATGATGGGTGAGATTATGTCAGCAATCTTCTTAAGGAGAAATGTAGAGATGTTATATGGGCCTGTGGCCTTTCCCGTTTTCAAAGCAAGAATGGTATTGAAGACTTCGGTCACATTTGTTGTTCGCATATAAATTGACTCCTTAACGGGAGCTTTTAGAAAGCTCGAGAAATGTTCATTTGTTGTGGGAACATCTGCTATTAAATTTTTCCCAATATTTGAGAAGAATTTATTAAGTTCGGATGCAATGGTTAGGCTATCATTAGTTTTGAGTCCATTTTGAAGTTTTAGTTCTGATATTGAGGAGTTGTTCCTCGATTTAATGTTCACAATCTCCTTTATTGTCTTCCATGTTTGATTTACATCTCCTCTATTGCTTTTCATTTTTGACAAATAATAGGCTTGTTTTGATTTTCTTAGTAGGTGAACTAAGATGTTGTGGTATTTTTTGTAATGTGCGCGTTGGCTTTCACTGCCATGCAAATAATATTTTTTATGCATTTTACTTTTTAATCTAATGGATGTTTGGATACCATTCGTAATCCAGGGTTTGGATAGAATTTTTGTTTTTTTGCGAGAACCCGGTACCATAGGTGCATGTTCATCGAGTAAATGTTCCAATGAGGTCATAAAGATGTTGAACACCTCATTGAAGCTATCGGTGGACAATTCTGTCAATAAAAAGCCATAGAATGCATTTTGAGCATCATTTCTGAATGTTTCCTCATTGAAATGAGACATTTTTCTTTTCATGCGGGGTTTGGCCTTACCGTAAGTTGTGTTCGAAAAAGAAAAGGATGACATAATAGGAAAGTGATCGGATATATCATGTTGTATGATAATAGACGAGGAGCAGCGATCGATTGCATTCGTGTATATATGATCAATTAATGTATGTGATGTCGAGGTTACTCTTGTTGGGCGCGTTATGATTGGAACGGCTAGGTGCGATAGAAGCATGTCAGTGTAACGTGTAGACAAATTATCTTTGGATAGTAAATTAATATTAAAGTCGCCCAAGATTATAAAAAGGCTTTTCGAATTTTCTAGTTTGGAAAGTAGGGAATTCATTGTTTCCATGAAATCGGAAAGATCGTTGCGAGGATGTTTGTAAACAACTCCAACAATGAACTTTTTGGGGTTATCAGATGAGGATTCATTAACCTGAATCCATATATCTTCACAATGGGGAAAGTTGAGTCTAAACTCAATTGTTTCAACAAATAAAACATCATGGCGTATAAAAATCCCTACACCCCCAGCCTTGGTAGGAGATGGAAAATGAATGAAGTTGTAATTATTTATAAATATAGTACTAATGGGAGATTCATTAAGTCTAGTTTCGCTTAAGGCAATGATATGCGGTAGTTGGTCGAAACTTGTTAACATTTGCATTAGGTCATCAATGTGCTTTGGAAGGGATCTTATATTGACATGCAAAAAAATGAAGTCAGTCGATTTGAGCTGCGATAAAGTTCCACTAATATTAGGGAGTTCTAGGTATTCACTTGTAATAGGGCAAATAGTAGAGGGCAAGTTCAATGATTCCCATGAAAAGGTATATGGAAAAGAGGCATGAGAATTTTGAGCAAGGCACACTTCACAAATATAGTTTAAATTTGGGTGGAGCAATGGGGCAACACATGTAGGGTGAAATTTAAGGTCACACAAATTGCAGCATATAAAAAAATCGGGTAGACACAAAAAATGACATATTGAACATATTTGTTCAGAAGACATGGAAAATAATAATTATATAAGAAAAATAAAGGTTATTAAAAAAGTCTGACCTATTTTATTTTTTGGAGATCATCTTCATCCAAGATTTCAAGAGTATTTGTCATTCTGTTTTTTTTTATCCGGACTTTTCCATTGGAGGTCCATAGGTACGCGTAACCGCATCTATTTTTTAGCGCCTTTGCTTGAAAAAATAAGTCTTTGTTCCTATTGGTGAGGTTTTCGGAAATGAAAACTTTAGACATGTCTTTAATATTAGATGTATTTGAAGCAGCCTTTAAACGTTTGCGGTTTTCGAAAATCTGATGTCGAATTCTTCGGTTAGTAAATCGAGCAATAATAGGAGGGTGGTTTTTCGGATTTCTTGTAGGGAAGCGATGAGTAAAAGAAATATCCCTTGGCTGGATATTCACCTTGGTGAGTTTTGAAATCTCTAAAACCAGTTCGTCGGTGTTTTCATTTGCTAAGGGTGGGACTCCGTGAAACTCCAGGTTTTCCAGTCTGGAGCGCCGTTCCTGGTCTTCAGTGTGCTCGGATAAATACCAAAGATCTTCTTCAAGATCCAGGATGCGTTCTTCTAAGCATTGAATTTTTTTATTTTGATATTTTAGTTGGTCATCCATATTTTTTTGATGTTTTAATATGTCATCAAACTTTTTAGATTGAAAGTCCTGGGACTCTCTGATGACGGATAGTTCATTTTTAATTTCCTTCAAGAACTTATTTTGATTGTCCATAAATTCTTTTAATCCTGGACTCAAGGGTAAATACTCTGATGAGTTGTTAAAATTCTCAGAGATGCAGCGAGCAATGATGCTTGGAAGTTGAATTTCAATGTTCTTTTGAATATTTTCCTGAATCTTAGTCAAGCTCAGAGAGGAAACAGGTGGTGTTAGTTGTTTCGGAGTGTTCAGTGTTCGGAGTATACCGACTGGCCACGTCGGAGCAGATCAAATCAATGCTCAATTCTCTTAATTTTGGTTCAGTTAGGCGGGTATTTAAGATCAATCTAAAAAACACCCGGGTGTACAACGGTTATGTGCAAGCCATCGTTGATGACTTCGAGATCTCCCGATTTCCAGATTTCATCAACGTTGGTGGAATGCGTTGTAAAACGTATCTTCCTCCAGACCTGTACGTTAAATCCTGCCTTAACTGTTTCCAATCTGGGCTTTTGGCCCGAGATTGTGTTCAGTCACCATCCTGTCACAATTTAGTGATTTAGTGAATTTTTGAAATTGAAAATTAAATTATTTGTGGCCTAAATTTCTTTCGAAACTTTCACTTCGTCATCTTGACATTTTCCTCCTTCTTCTCTCTTTACCTGGCCAAGACAAGATACTCGTCACTGGAAGGCTTAATGAGTGTGCATCGAGGTGCATTTCTCCGAGTCTTCCTAGTGACGGGAATGTTTTGTTGAGGCCGGGACATTTGTTAACTCTTTATTTTGTTTTATAGAAAAAGGAAATAACATCTACAAGCCTCCCCTGCAACACGTGAGTATAAAAACAAGGTGAGTATCGGTGGGTCGAGGCCTACTTTAAAAAAAAAAAAAAGTAAGTTTCTGAGCCGTGGCTCAAATTTATGGCTAGAACAGTAGTGGGGTGGTTAGGACTCGCCCTGCGATATGTCAATTTATAAATTTTTTTTTTTGCGTAATGTTTTTGTCAAACATCATTTTAAGTTCTCTGAGGCAGAGGAAATTCTGAGGTCAACTATCCAAACTAGAAACTATCCTACGGGGCACCTTTACACCTGCCAAATTGGAACACAGTCACGCAGAGACATCCACCATCGAATAAACACCGTTTAAGATCACAGTCCTTGTATTAAAATCTTCTATGAGGATAAGGGTGCCTGGAAAAATAATATTAGTTTGTATAGTGATAGTAACATAATTACTGATAAGTATAATCATTTAGTCCACCATATGAATGAATTTTCTTACATTCAAAAATGATGGGATTTTGTAAAATATAGTCTTAGGAAAGTTTCGATTGCATATTCCATCTCTAGAGCAAGAGAAAATAAAAGGAAAAAAATTACATCTGGGTCAATTAATAACCGAAAGTACCGACAATGATGAAATAATAAGACTTCGTCAAGAACTCATTTTTCATCAAAATAATAAATTGGAATATTTAAAGCTAAATTCGGAGAAAAACCGTCAAAGA